AAGAACGTACGACCTTCCTCTTAGCTTGTATGTATCGTAGGTATGTATCGATCTCAGTGCAGACGTCCGACAGGGATAGAAACGCTATCAGGAACAGTTGCATGCCCGGGGTTACTTTTATTTTTGGCCGGCACGATATGCCGTAACACGGATTGAACTATAAGCGCGCTGCGCGCACACATACACACACACACACACACACACGCATGCACAAACTCACGGATCCTAAATCCGTATTCACGACTTTCATCGGAAGAGACAGTTTCGTTGTAGTTGCGCGCGTCATCGTCGTTTCGTTTATCTTTAATCCCGCTTCTTTTGTCTCGCGCGAGAAGAGGAAAGGTTTCCGCGGCTCAGGTTAAAAGTTACCGGAAAGTTTTGATGGATACGTAAAACATGTATATCTCCGGCTTAATTTATCAAGGATATATATATATATTTTTTTTTTTTTTTTTTTACGTCAACTCATGCGAGAACAGGTGAGAAATTTTCGTGTGGAATCACCTCGTCGATAATCTGGCGGAGAAACTTCCGTCGAAACTTTTCATCGCGCGTGTAACTTCCTCCCGTGTTTGACGTTACACAAGGAGAGTGTCCTCGAGATTATGCATTTTCATGAGCAGTTACTCATACATTTACTGTGCGCAGTCTTGTCCAGGAAGAACGAGGGATGTTGCTCCCAGAGGAGCTTAGTATCAAATCTGACTGAAAGTACGACGACGGAACGCTTGGTTCTACGTACAGAAATACATAGCGCGCAAGTACATAGTTTAAGAAACTTTACTTAACACAAATACACGTTACGTAGTTACAGTTATCCTAACCGTTTTGGTCAGTTTAGCTCGTTTCCACTGGTTTAAAGGCATCGTCCTCGTTCCGTCTCTCTCCTTTCCTCTCTCTCTCTCTCTCTCTCTCTCTCACTCTCTCTTTGTTGCATCCGTTCTTTGCCGGAATGCAGTTTGACTAGAGCCACCGAAATCTATAGCGCAGCTTTGCAGTCGCAGCTAAATTGTTTGACGTGTCTCGTCCTCGATTCTAGCGTAACTAAGTTCGCGCGCGCTTGTTCCTCGGATTCTGGAAATACCCCGCGGCGAGATATCTCTCTAGAATCTGATTGTACCGAAATGTCGAACTATTAGACATTTCGAGCTCATCCCGGGAACATTATTGATATCCTAGAATTTTCAATTTGCGGTTGCAATGGAATTCGTACACTTCGTTTATTATTATATATATATATCTTCTTCCTGTGCATATATTATCAAATAACTTTCGTCTATTCTACGTCGATATGTGTGTGATTTTACGTAAAGCTATGTAACGGAACTCAAATAGACCGTATTTATTTAAGGTCATATTTTTCCACGTTATAGTTTACTAGTAGTGTTGTACTACATGACGAAAAAAATTTGCCTTGCCATAAAAAAATCCGTAAAAAATACTTCAAAAATAAATATAAACAGAATTCCTGAAAAAACGTCACGAATGATTTAACTTCAATGTCATATTTTCATTCTCGCGTAAAAGAACACTGCGTCTTACACAAATTTTCTTCTAAAAATTGATATTAATGATCAGTTCGCGATCAGTATCGAAGTATCAGTATCCCACCGCGTCACACAACTAATGACCAAACCAACCAACATCAGAAATAATAAAGCCAAAGTAACTACGATATTTCAGACGATATCTTTCGTTTTCACAGAGAGAGAGAGAGAGAGTTATTATACATATATACATTTATATCAAGTTTCATACTTAATGATCCAATACTACTGTCGCGTAATATTTCGAGCAGAATTCAATGATATAATCAACAAACTCCAAAATGAGATAAGAGAGAGATATATATATATATATATATATATATATATATTTATGTCCTTCCTCTTCATTTATTCAAACATAGCAGTATTGCGTCATACGCTCGTTTTTGTTAGGAAAATTGAAGTTTAAGTCGTGATTTTGGTACGGCGGAAAGTTTATTTCGTCGGCGCTTTGTTGCGTAACTTTGTTTCGTTCCGCCGGATGACAGGTAGCGACGCGGAGAAATCCAGCGAAGAGAAGGATAAAGGAAGGTGGGATTGGTTATTGATATATACGGCAACAATTTTTCTCCATATTTACGCACACCACTCCTTTCACACGTATTTGCAAGTAAATATTCGCGCGGAGAAACCTTTCTCGATAATATCGAGAGCTTCGGCGGCCAATTGTCGAGAACAAATATCAATGTTAATAGCACGGTAACGCGCATTGTGTGCGGACGCGCACAGAGAATGTTCAAATCGAAAGTCCCGCGTCTCCCGTATTTGAATACCGTATTTGGAATTACCTCGGTCAGTATCATAACGGATAAAAGTGGCCTTGTGGGGATTCAAACTAATTTGGTCCTTCCTGTTTAACCTACGATGAAAGAGAAAGAGATAGAAAGAAACAAAGATGTAAAACTCAAAATTCACACATTGTGAATAAATTTCAAATAATCCTATTGGAGTTTCAAAGGTATATTTATGCATATGGCTCGCGCACCCCTTCCCCATCAGCGAGCTTGAAACCTGGATATAAAGATAATATAGCGCTTGAACTTCGCTCTCTCTAGAGGATGACCGTAATGACGAAAAATTGGACGTCGCATGAGAATTTATAGAGAACAGTAAAAGGCAAGAATAGGCTTCAACTGTTTTTTGTTATTCGAGTTTCAGAAATCACCGCGCGTGTTATGAACTTTATTATATAAAGTATTTCCAAATCAAATCGCACATATTTTCGATATAAATTACGTAACTCCAAACAAAAATAATATACAAATAAAATTATTTATGTTATTGTGTTAGTTTTATCATTGTTGAAAAAACAATAAAAGGTGTTTCTATTTTGTTTTTAAAATGCCGGACGTATAAATTCAAGTGGATATTTTAACTAATTGCATTTGGAAATCGTAATATATCTACACGCGAAAACTATTAATCAACCTGAACTATGATATGTACGAGAAGCTATTAATTAAAATCATAGTACATAATGCACGAGAAGCACCCATCGTACACCAAATATTATGACAACATAAGCTGGTTAATGCAACAGCGCGAATGTTCATACATCATCTTTTTTCACATAATTGTTGAAAGGGCCGCAATTAATCTTTTGTTGAATTCATCGGCAATAAAAGAAAAATTCTTTGCGACAAATGCACAATATATAACGTGGAAATACTTGTCGTAGAGCTATTGATTTCCATTGAAATGTTTCAATATGATTTGTAGCAAGTCAATGCGACTGGCAATGAACATTGAAAGCACCCGTTTTATATCTCGCGAAACGTGAATATCGCCTTAAATATCCAAAGCGTGACTGCTTTACGGTATGAATCAGCCAGAAAGTTTCACTGATAGTTTATGTTCGATGAAATCGACATTAGACTTTAAATGAGAAAATTCATATGTATTGTACGCGATCGAACACATCTTTTATCTGTCGGTTTACGAAACGATTAAGTATTCGCGCCGAACAACATTCGTAAAACTTTAATTTCTGGTTTTTTAGGTCACAACTATGTGATTTGGTAAAACTAAATTTAATCGTCATGTTACACAAATTAACTGATGACAAGTTGTGCCTTTTAAAAACTGCTCTCGTTTTTATTACACCAATTAGCTCTCTAAAGCTTAAAAAGTAAACAATATGCTCGTTGCGACTGCAATATTTTAAAGTTCTTAATTTTTTAAAACATTTATTTTTAATTTTAAACATTAACTGATAAAAGTACGTTTTATAAACTCTAGAGATCCATATTTCATGCCTAATACTATTTTTGAATTAAAAAAAAATTATTTCATACATACATCTCTCTTTGCATGCACATTTTAATCTAATGTAATTCAATCAAAACGCGTATTCCTTTGCAAGCGTTAGATTTAATCTTAAGAACTTACTAAGAATCACGTTTCTAAAGAATTTCTTTATTCTTTTTTATAGACGGAAATAGTGGTGTTTTATATATAAACGCGGGTAGAAATAAAATTTTACTTTTTTTAAATCGCCTTTCTCTCATAATTTTTCTCAGAGTATCATTTTTGTCAATGATACAAAATTATTTGTTTAAAATTAAAGTTCTTCTTTCATTGTAATGCATACATTGAAGGAGAAGAACTTTAACTAAGTAAACAATTTTACTTCAATAAAGTACGAACGATACAGTTGGAGAAACCTTGTATATATTCTGCATATAATTGTTAAAAATCTAGTGAGAATAATGTAAAACATATAATAAAGTAATGTTTGAATAATATGTAAAATAATAGTACGTAAACTAAAATTTAATCTGAAATAATACCGCGCACCGACATCGCACGCGTTAACTTCTACGGTTTTATCTTCTTTCCTCACTTCCAAGAGTTTAAAATAATAAAAACATTCTGAAATGTATATATATATATATATAATATAATGTTTCACACGTCACATATTAAACAAGGTATCTAGAGAGCGAATTTTAAGCACTCACGTATTATCTCGCAAATATCATGGAAATAGAGTATATATTGTAACACCTTTTTGTAACAGGATATCGAATTTAACTCGACCGATCTGCGAGGTCGATACCGCGGCGTTTAATGACGTTTTCCATTTTTCATCCGGTCGCGTAGGGAAAAACTGGCGTAACCTATCTGCGTGCGCGATCGTGAAAAATAATATCTGTCGCACACGACACACTCCCCGCGCGCGTTTCACCAACGCACGGTCAACTTTGCTCGAAAGCTCGCACGGACGTCAAACATCGATCACCGGGTCTCACGCAGACTTCTCGCGGATATATACGGCCGGAGCGGCGAGAACTTGCAAAAGTGGCAGAAGCGCAAGCACCACGTCTTCATATAAATGTCATCCGAAAATCGACGGGGCACTCCAACAAACGGCGATAACTGTTATCGATCAAAATCACTATTGACAAATCGCGAGGAGCAACAAACGAATATCGATCACTCATGAACGTTTACCTCGTGTGTGTTTATGTAACGATCATAGATCATCAATAGATCCTTCCCGGTGGAGCACCGTGTTGCTCGGCGCACTATATCACACACACTACTACTGACGATACTGTGAGAGTATATATGTCGAAAATCGCGTGTCCCGAGACCCACGTACGGCAAAGTAATCACTGAGGGAAACGACGTGCGCGGTCGTATATAAAATTCGAGAAAAACGAAAATAAAAAATGTTCACCGTTTCGCCGCAACAGCGACGAAAACGTCCAAACGGAGCACGTGGTGCCGCGACGTGCGCCCACGATAGACTGGCGCCCGCTTCGGTCGTCTGGCTCGTTCCTGACTCTCCCTACTGCCTGGTTGGCTGAATGGGGTGCAAGGCGGGGTGGCTCTGACTGGATGGCAGCGACTGCATGCTGGTTACCTCAGAGTGTCAAGTAACCTCTTTCTTGACGACGCTGCTCACCAGCAAGTGTTTATGAGCCCGATGCAATTTATGTTCTTATTATGCGCACCGGATGTCTCAAGATTTGCATCAAATTTCAGAGGAAAGAGAAAGTTTGTCGGGAGATTTTTGTGCAGCCGAGACTTTTCGGCAAAAGCTTAATTAGATCTTGCCCTTTTCGAGCCAACGTCAACTTCGCGAAATTAACGCAACCTCTTATCCGCGAAATTAAACTTTAATTTTCAATTTTATTCGCGTAAAGTGTACTTTTGCTTTTAATTAACCGTGAAAGTGTTCTGCTATTTTCCAAATTTTATTTTATATAAATAGGTATATTAATTACGTAAATACGTAAATATATAAATTTTTATAACAAACAGAGAAAGTAGCATTATATACACATTATATATATGTATATTTGATTATATATATACTGATTTTATATAACAAATTTATATTTTTTATATATTCACGGAACACACACAATATTTTTAGAAAAGTTTTAATGAAATGTCTTGACTGAAAATTAACAGCTCTGAGATTTTATTTTTTGAACTGAGTGTAAAAAGCCAATATAAAAATTGGATTCTAGATTATGAAGAAAAGTTTATCGCGTAATGAGAAAAAGTTTTTTTTATATGATAGATTATCATATCAACATGATTTTGAAAAATTAAGAGAGAAAAATATTATAGATAAATATATCATATAATTATATCGGTTTTATTATATATTGCGCGTATGTATTATATAGAAAGAAACGTGTATATATGTGTAAAGAATATAAACAGATAACTGCTTGTTATCAAGACAACCAATTTTAGTTGTTCGTAATGTACACTCGAGTTGCTCATTTCGCGACCCACACTAATTTTTCAACTTGAGAAAGGGTATTTAGCTGTCTGTCTCGCGTCAGTCAAACTCCTCGTTACAACCGCTATAGCTTGATGGCTACGAACCTTCATTACTGCGATAAGCTTCGTTGGGGGTCCGTTTGATCGCTTTGCAATTCTTTGCCTTCAAGGTGCGAAGATATTATGACCTCATTGAACAAAAGTGGTCGTCGATCAAACGTGTTACATTATCGATATGTTTGTTTGTCATGTTATTTTGTAATTTTTACGCCTTGAGATAAGTAGTGGCATGTTTCAACCGACAAAAGATACATTAATCACTTAAGAATGTATAAAAAGATTGCCAACATACGTTCAAACGATTAATAGTACTGATAATGTTACTCTGAAAAAATCTCGAGGCTTTAAATTAAAATATTTACTTGAATCGATTCCTAAACTTTCGCTACCACTGTGTCTGTTTTGTTTTCTCTCATTCGTTCGAATTAAATTTGCAATACTCCGTCGATCTTTTAGGCAATAAGGCGAGAGCGCGATCGAGTTAGTTCACGATCGTTAACTATACATAGCGCGAGAGCTCGAGAAATGACTTCCAACTTTCAAACGGATAACTTGAAATCTTATATGCTAACCCTTAAAGAGAGAAAGCGAGAGAGAGAGAGAGAATGCACTCTTTGTGGAAAGTTAATGGCATATTAATAAATCATTTAGGAATTGAACTACTGAACGAGCGACTTATAGAGCTTTTATTACTTTCCGGAGTAATCAAGGTGAAAAGTACGACTGTGTTATTCACAGAAAGTTCGACTCTCTCTTCCTCTCTCTTTCTCTTTCTAGCAAAGCTACAGCCTTTTACCGTTGGTGCTGAATCTTTAGCAAATGAGAGTTGAATCTCTTTTTCTCTTTCTCTTCTTCAGTTGTTACTTTTTTAAAATTTATTTTGCTCGAACTAAATTCTTGATGTAATACTCTCTTGAAACGCTTCTCACATATTGTAAAATTCATCATTCAGAGAATATGTTACGTAGTTTGTTCGTAATCAGAACTTTTTAGATTATCCCGGACTTAGTCTAGATTAAAAAAAAAAAAGAAAAACTACGCTCGTACGATAAAATTGACACGAGTCGCGGAGTTAAACTAGCGTGAAATTTTTTTAACATCAATCTGCATAATAACGCGTGTGTCTTAATTACGGCTTAATCTTTTTAATGAAGCAAGGTTTTGGACCAAGTTTGAGCGCGTTTCCGCGTCGCGGTCTTTTAGAAGTTGATTGAGCTTGTAAATCGCATCCCTCACCGTCCGTCGAATCACCGGCGAAGTACTTGCAAGTTCTGTTCATTCCGGAACGTTCCTGCTTTTCAGTCGGCGAGAGCTTGCAACTGCACGCTTTGGAACACTTCGACTGCTCGTGTTCTGCTCTAGTTCGATCTCGCGCGATACATTAGTCCGCTCTAAGACACGCTTTAGTAAGTCGCGCAGATTTCGTCGTATACATCTCCGTGATACTATTTCTATATCTTTCCGAGCTCGAATCCTTGTCACTCTCTCACGCCGAATATAAAAAGAATTTGATAATTCATTTAAACAATCTGTTTTTTCTGTCAGAATTGTTCTGTATAAATTCAGTACTATATAAATTCGCACTTACAGAACGTTAGTCAAAACCAAACGAAATATTTAGTCGAATTAAATGCAAATTTGCGAAATTTTTTGCGCACGTTTCTTGACTCACGTTCTCGTCAAAAAAAAAAAAAAAATAAAAAAAAATAAAAAAATAAAAAATAAACTGAGAGCTCTGTTGAGAGAGTATGTATAAATAATTTCACTTTCAAAAAAATATACTCATGTGTCCTTTTTCGAAAGGATATTACAAGCTACAAGTTGCGCCGTACTTGAAAAAAATCATTTTCAACGCGTTTCTAACACATCAACTGTGCTCGTGTTGCAAATCACCTATACACACCTACACGCGCACATACACAGAGACACAGTATAAAGGAACGAAATTTGAACGCTCTCTCCGAACTTCGTTATACGCTGCATATCCGATAAGAACACATTTTACATATCTCGCATATATTTCGACTTGCGGAGAACGCAATACAGTGAAATCACGTAATTCTCTCTGTCGGACACGCCGCCATTTACCTAACAGCGCACCGCGGCGTTATGGTAATTTCAGTGATGTGCAGATCAGTGCTTGTTGAGACATTGAATGAGGTTTCACCAGGAATCAAGTAGTTCCGTACAAATGTTCCGCCCTTTGATAATTTAATCCAGTTATCGGAAGCTCGTCGCTTGTACGCGGACGACTTTATATGACCGTAACTACTCTACATATCTCCCGTATAACTGCGAACTGTTATGAAGTCAAAATTTACGTATATCGTGTACGAGAAATATTCAGATAACTTCGTATATACACGCGCGCGCGGAAAGAGCTGTCGCTATTTCGAAATCGGATGGGAAAAATATTCGAAGCTACGCGATTCTATGAAAGCGAAAGAGCGCGAAATGCGTGCCGTAAAATACTCTTAGATATAAATTATCACAATATGACTCACCTCTGGAAAAACTTGCGTTCTCTTTACCGTCTGTTCCAAATTTACATGAAGCGTCTTCCATCAAACATACCGCACTCAGAAAAGGACGGAGAAATTGATAGTGACCAAACCAAGAGAGATCGTCGTAAATTCGCTATGAACAACATGACACTTCCGATCACGTATCAAAACCACAAATTCGAACCCGAAATATCGCACGCTTGTTAATACTTTGAAGAGATACACTCCCGAGGGACTGTCAATATTCATTTGTGCGCGAGAAAAGCACGTTCAAGACATACGCACGTACAAGACACGTATCGCGTCAATTACATAAATGTTGGTTACAAATTCTAATCGTCACAAAAAAGAACACGAGATCAGCCATGATTCGAAGCACACGCGGCGAAACGATTACGCGCGATGACTTGTGTATTTTTTTTTTCGATAAAATCTGTTATCTCGAATATTTACTGTGTTCAAAAACGTCGCGTGTTTTCTTAATAACATTACTAACATCTTGAATCTCAATCGGTACAAGTCTATCAATTAATAAATAACACACAAAAACGAATTTCTCTTTCCGAACGAAAGTGAAAAGTACGAAAAACAACTATCGTTCACCATCGGTCGCATTCGTTCGTGATCGAGTCGCGATACTTCGAGTCGCGACGAAAGGGCGCGAAAGGGAACGATCGATTCTGATCTACGTTGCGCTTCGGCAGAAACAAGCAGGTATGATATGTGACGGTAATTCGCGTACTTTATGAGATCAATTTATTATAAATATGAAATATCGTGTGTCTTGTAAATATTCGGAAACACGCGATTGACGTTTTTTCGATATTTATCATCACAAGAATCTCTTTTTGCGCGAGAAAAGTCCGATCACATCGTAAACGCGAGGGAACTACCGAATATCACTCATTGTTTGTAATCGACTGCGGGGTTGTTCGTAATCGGATGGCGATACTCCGAGTCGCGACGGAAGGAAGCGAAAAGAAGAGATCGACCGCGATTCAGTTTGCGCAAAATGGCTGACGCGGTCGGTGAGGCAACGGTGAGTTGCGTATTTTCCGATCAATTGTTGTAGATCCGCGTTTTGGTCGACGCGCAGTACGCGATCGTGCATATACGCGATAGCGCTTTTATAAAACTCGTTAAAAAGCAAATCGAGTGATAAATGTGCGCGCTATATGCAAGTTTCTATCGAGCGTCTATTGATTGCGGCGCGAGATGTTGCGGCTTCTTGTTTGTTTTGAATACTGGCGCGCAATTGACTTTCGAGAATGTTGCAACGTTACGCGGTTTTGAATATTTTTCTAAGTAGCTTTTTTCACTATTATCTCGTGTATCGGACGTGTCGAATCGAAATAACTTCGCGTGGTGCATCGAGTAGTCGAATGGGAAATACGCGACAACAATAGAATGCCGT